TTCTTTGATTTTTTCATGATAAGTGATTTTTAGCAAATTTAAATCCTGGATATAAGTACTATTTATTTTTTTCCTTCAACAAATTTATGTTCAATTTGATTTAATAAATCATCTGCTTCTTTAATTTCTTTAATAAGTTTACTTCCATTTTGTAAATATTCAACAAAATTTATCTTTTCATTAATAAGAGTTTGATTTCTTATTTTCCATTGTTCAAGAATATACTCTTCATTTTTGCCAATAGCCTTAGTTTGACTTTCAACCCACTCTAATTTTTCTTTAGAAATTTTTAACTGTGGGAATAATACTTTTAATTTTTCCATTTCTTCCGTTTTTTTTATTTTAGCTGTTTTCATTTCTTCTTCTGCACTTTTTAACATCTCTTCATATTTGTTTACTAAAATAACATCATTACCTTTTTTTGCATTTATTATTTCTTCTTTATATAATTTTACTTCAACTTTCTTTTGTTTATATTCTTCTTCTTGTTTATTCATTTTATTTCTAACTTCTTTTATTTGACTGTTTACAATAGCAATAAATTTTTGTAACAATGCTGTGTATTTACCGTAATGATAAATTAATTCATCATCCATCTTAGTGAATTTACTTACGCTACTATTCTCTCTTTTCCAATCACTTATTAAATATTCACTTGTTTGACTGTTGTAAACTTTTTCAAATAGTTCAATAATACTAACAGTTCTTGGAATATATGCAAAAGCTACACACAAAAATAACAAATTTATGATGATTTTCATCGACAATATAATTTTCAAGATCTTTATTTTCTTTTTAGTTTTTCTTTTTTTGTTGATTTTTACTTTTCTTATTATTTTTATTTCTTCTAAAACATAAAGAGGAATAACGAATGTTCAATTACCAGCTTTTAGAACAGAAACCTAATGAAGTACAAAGTTGATTTCCAGAAGCAGGTAAATCATGAGATAAATCGATGAGTTGGATTTTCATGAAACTTTCTAAACAAAGTCTTTCATTAGGAGAGGATTGACAATAGTTGAGGACATTTTTAGTAAGAAGAAGATGAGGAGTACCTTTAGCGATTTTGTCAATGACATAATTTCCGATATTTTCACAAATGGAACAAATTTGATTAAGAGAATTTGTGTTATTGAGAATAGAGAATAAATATTTACCATTAGGATTTCTTAATTCATTAATGAGATTATTTAGAATAGTATTAATGTGTTTATTTCTATGAAGTCTAAGTTTAATTTGATTAGTAAGGGATTTAATGTTGTTGTCATAGAATTTACGAGATATTTGACAGACAATTGTATCTCTCATCTTAAGAAGATTTTTAATTTTCAAATGATCAGCTTTTGATTTTCTTTTGAAAAGACGATTCATTTCAAGTAAATAGAATTCAATGTTTCTTGCTTTTTTAATAGCTTCTTCACCAATTAATTTTAGTTTTTCTTCTTCTTTCTTAATCATATTATAAATTTTATTTCTTCTCATATAAAATTTAGGACTTAATTTTCCTTTACATTTAGATATTCTTTTACTAAGATTTTGTGCATTTCGTTTATATTTAATTAAATTATTATTAATTAAATCTTTTTTATGAATAATAAGTTGTGCTTCATGAATCATTATTTTTTCAAATTCTTCAATTCTTTTATTAATAATTTCTTCATTATATCTTTCAAGTTTTTGTTTAATACTTTTTTCAATAATATTTAATGGTTTTAAACTTTTATTAATATCTTTCATTTTATTTGTAGCAGTTATAATTTCTTCTTTAGTACCACTATTTGTTTTTTTAATAATTTTATTAACTAATATTTGAATTCTTTTCTTTTTATCTTTTATTATTTTAATTTTTCTTTGAAGTTCTTTTTTAATCCATTCAATATTTTCTTTTCTTTTATATTTCATTTCTTCAATTTCTTTTCTTCTTTCTTCATTTCTTTCTTGTTCTTTTTGAATTTTTTCTTCTATTTTTTTAATTCTTTCTTCATTCTTTTCTATTTCTTTAATTTTATCTTTTTTAATTCCTTTACATTTCTTTCTTTTAATATTTTTATTTCTTCTTTTAATTATTTCTTTTCTTCTATTTAAAATATTAATTCTTTTTTCTATATTTAAATATTCAAATTCCATTTCTTTAATTCTTTCTTTTTGTTTTATACTTAATTCTTCTTTTGCTTCAATAATTTCTTTTGTGTTTTTCTTTCTTTTTCTTTCTTCTTTTTTAACTTCTGAAATTGCTTCTTCCATTCTTTTTTTTCTAATTATTTCTCTTTCTTTTTTCATATATTCACTTCTTCTTTCTAAATCAATAATATCTCTTTTAATTTGTTTAATTCTCATTTCTCTTACTCGATTTTCTTCAATTATTTGTCCTGTTTCTAATTCTTTTCCTTTTCTTTTTATTATTTCATATTCTTTTTTTGTTCTTTCTTTATTTATTTTAATTTCTTTCTTAAGTTCTTTCTTAATATTATGAATCTTTTCCATTATATTTTTAATTTCTTCTTCTTCTTGTTTTTCTATTTTCTTTTTACTTTCTCTTTTAATTTCTTTTTCTGTTTTAATTCCTTCTTTTATATTATTTTTTTTTTCTTTTATTCTTATTTTTTTCTTTTCAATTTCTTTATTAATATCATTTCTTTCTTCTTGATAATATTCTTTAACTGCTTCTACTTCACTTTTACTTATTTTATTATTTATTTTCTTCTTTTCATTTTCAAGATTGTTAATATCACTTTCAATCATTATTATTTCTTTTTCGTTTTTTTCTCTTTCTTCTTCTATTTCTTTAATTCTTTTTTCACTTCTTTCAATAATACTTTCTACAAATGATGGTTCTTTAATATTATTAATTATTTCTTTACTTTTCTCATAAAGTATTTCAATTTCCCTTGTATCTCTAAATATTCTATCTTTCATATTATTTATTCTTTCTTGTTCTTCTCTATTACTACATTTTTGATATCTTGAAACTTCACTTCTCATTTTCTCACTTCTTTCTTTTAACCCTTTAATTTCTTCTTCTATTCTGCAATATAAAACAATTGCTGTTTTCTTTCTTCTTATTTCTCTTAGTAAATGTTCAATATGATAACTGGGCATTTTATTTCTTGTTGAATTAATAAGTTCTCGATATTTGTATTCTCTTAAATTTAATTCATCCATAATTTTATTCCCAACCTTGCATGTTCTAATTCCTTCATTTCTTTTTGTGTTTGTTGTGTTTGTAGTTATTTCATTCGCATAAATAATAACAACAAAACCAAATAAGATGAAAAGACTTCTTCTCATTATTATAAAATAATATGATTTTTTTTCTTTTTTTTTTCTTTTTCTATGATTTTTAGGAAATTGAAAATCTGAAAGAGAAAAAAAAAGAAAATAAAAAAATTTAATAAAAAAAAAAAGGGTTAAATGAGAAACTAGAAAAAGAAGAATGTTATTGTATTACTGTGATAATTGCAAACAATACACTATGAAAACTGAATGTCCACAATGTTGTGGATATGTACGTAGTGCACATCCAGCTAAGTTTTCTCCAGTTGATCCATATTCAAAATATAGAATTGCTACTAAAAAGGAATTTGGACTTCTTCCTACATCCACAAAGAATTGATTGGTTTTGGTTTTTATTTGTTTTATTTTTTTATATTGAATAATAAATGAAATTGAAAATAATTTCATTTACAATTTATTTTATTGAAGAAGATACAACAATAAATTACTTTAAATCAACATTTCTATTTTATATACAATTCATTCATTAATAATTCATACAACAATTAATTAGAACTAACAGTCATAATTAAATTTATTATTTTTGTTAATTTATCACAGAATTCATTTACTAACCAAATTATTCACACACTAATCTAATTAAAACAGAATTATAAATAATATAGAGTGATATTGATAAATAAAAGAAATAAAGAAGAATAAGAGTTTCAATGAGATAATATATAAATAGATAAACAAGAAGAATAAAATAAATAATAAAACAAGAATAATAATTTTATTAAAGGATAAACCAAAAAGATTTATTGATATTATTTTAAAATAAATTATCAATATTAAGAATTTATTAACACACAGATACACTAAATAAGATA